TTACCTTTGAAGGAGAGGTGAACTTGTGAGGAGGAAGTGAAGGGGAGAGCCTCCCTTATATAGAGAAGAGGCACGGGTCCCGAGAACAGTTCTGGCTCGGAATTGAAATAATACTTGAAAACACTGTTCATCTTGACAAAAAGACAAAACAGAGAAGAGTCTTTTCCAAATACTTAGGAAAATTTTCATATTTTCCAAGAAGCAACATAATGGCTATAAAAGCCAGACTGCATACGAGACGCATTCAAAATCACTGTAACCGATCGTCAGCTCGGGACGAATGTCCCATTCCACCAACTTCCGTGGGACGACGTGCACCGGCTCGGCACGATCGAGACAACGAGCAAAAGTATCGAGCGATCGATCCCCACGAATGTTAAGCTCCAGCTCGGACGAGGCGATCGCATGCCCTTTCCTCCTCGTTCCGACCGGCTTGGTAAGAGGCCAAGGGACCATCGCTTTCGGCCGATGTCGTCATGACGCGATCGGCTCGGCACCGCACGTCTTTGTCTCATCATCACGTGGCCGATCGGCTCGGGCAAGCTATGCGGAGCATCGTCCGCCCTTGGGAACGACCGGCTTGGCACGCATGCTTGCCTCCATCTCGGTACGTGCGGATTGTCGTTGGCTCGGGAATGTACCGATGACGATACGGTTTTTCTGAAAACTTAACCAAAACAGTTTTTCGAAAAAACTTTCAAAAAACTTAACCAAAACAGTTTTTCAGAAAAATTTCTACGAAAACTTTCGAAAAATTTAGCTTTAACAGTATTTCCGGAAAAACCTTTGCGAAAAACTTTCAAAAAACTTAACCAAAACAGTTTTTCGGAAAATTTTTTACGAAAACTTTCGAAAAACTTCACTAAAACAGTTTTTCGTAAAAAAAACTTTTACGAAAAATTTTCGAGAAACTTAACTAGAACAATTTTTCGGAAAAACTTAAAAAAAAAAAAACTTAACTTTCTTTGGAAAAACAGTTTTACGTAAAAACTGATCGATAGCCGAGAACATACAAAACACTATTAATGTTTTTAACATTATTAATGTTTTTTTTCCGACAAAA